GAGCGAGCGCGCCTGTCTGCGCCGCCGCTCGGCCCCTGGCCGCGCTCCTCTCGGGGCAGGAGGCCGCCATCTGCTTTTCTGGTTCGCGGTTTTCGAAAGCTTCTTTGAAGGAAAACCAGCAAGGGCAACGCAATGCAATTAAGGGGAAAGGGTGTCAAAAACGTTTTAGAAACGTGTCAGAAATAGGGCTTTTTTTTTTTTAAATCCACAAATTAGGTTCACAGAAAGTTTACATCCTCTGATGAGGTGTTGCTCGATTCCCAAATTTGCATTTCAGTCCCTCACTGGGAAGGTGTTGAATCTGGCACTTCCCTGACAAAGGCAGGAAGAGGTGAGCATTTGCAGAAGGGGTGGGGAGGGAAGGTTTCCAGCAGCTCTGCTGAAAAAACCAACGCAGCCCTTTTCAAGTTTCGGTGGAAACTGCCTTTATTCTTTTCCACTCCAAAGTAATATAAACACATTATCTGACCTGACACTGCACCGCATTGTGAAAGAGGAGCTCCCGTTTGATATGCAGTAGAAGGATCATACGGAGGAGGACTCCTTCTCTCCTCTTTACACTGTGGCAGTACCTGCCACCTGCTGCAGGAAAAATTGCCCCTTGTTAGAGTAGGATGGTTGGGACGATTTAGGATTCAAACATTTTGGCATCAGTGGCAGAAACTATCAGCTACTTTTGTGCCACTATCTGCCTTCAAAACGTTCACAATCAAGGTTAGTATGACCCAAATTTGACTTACCTTTTCCTCAGTTATCCTTTAGTAAACACCTTGGCAGTCTCTATGGGGGTTTTGCCACCAAAAAGATTAATTCTTGCCTTCTCCCTCTTAACTAAAAATGAAATCAAAGGAATTAACTGCAGGTCAGGTCAGCAGCCTAGTACTTGTGAATTGCTTTAAAGAAACAAGCCAAGCCCTACACAAACAGCAACAGAAGAAACATTTCATTAATTAATAGATATTAGTTCAGCCTGGCCAATATTCACTGTAACAACTCACTTTCTTAAAGTGTCTTGATGGTGTCCTATCAATAGATGCAAACCATTATAAATGGATTTTAAATCTAGGGGAGAGTTAACATTTTGTAACAGTCACAAGAAACTTCCACTAAGGCACACTTCTTCAGATTCCCCCTTTAAGTTTTCCTATAACTTACAGCATTTTATTGTATTACAATAGAAGCTAGATGTTCCCCAGTGGGATAAGGTGCTGTACACCATACACAGTAAAAAAGACAGTTCCTTGAGCAGCTATCTAGATAAGTCAAAGAGCAAAAGAAAACACTTTTATTCTCAGTTTTATTCTATTTCTATGGATTGGGAATTGAGAGAGACTTGAGGAAGAGCTGAAATTGAACCCAGACCTGAATCTCAGTCCCATGCCTCCACCTTAAGCTTAGGGTGGCTACACATCCCCGTTTGTCCAGTCCCAGATTTTGAAAGCCCGTTCCAGCCAGCTGGCAAAAATTAAAACAAGCATCCTGAAACTGCAGGAGCATGGGGCACAGTCTGGCAGGGAGGCAGAGCAGCATGGCATGCCAGGCAGCTCTGCTTTCCTGCTGGACTGCACCTGCTCCTCTGTCTGCTGGCCTCTGCCACTGCCCGGAGCAGCCCTGCTGACTTGGGGGTGGGGGGCAGTGTCCCAGATGTCCTGGTTTTCTTTATGGTCACTCTACTTAAGCCCATCCTTCTTCCACTGATGATCCCAAGGGCTAATTACCACTTCCTCGCAGATGAGCCATGGTCCACTAGAACAGCGGTTGTCAACTTTGTCCCTACCAGGACCCATCTGCAAAGATCCATGCCTGTCCCGACCCACAACCCCTGGCCCTGCTGGTGCCCAGCCTCCAGTCCCCAGCCCCCCGGGTCATGCTGGTATCCCTCACTCCCAATCTGCAACCCCCTGCCCTCCCCGAGGGGGCCTCAGCTGCCCCTCTCCCACTCAGGCCATAGGGCAGGGGTTGTGGCAGCTCTGGCTCATGTGGGTGGCAATGGAGTAAGTCCAGTCTCAGCATGGGCTGGAGGGAGAGACCTCTGGCTCCCCCCCTGCCCTGGGCTGGGGCTGCCATGCTGTGCCAGGCAGCCTGGTCACAGCCCCTCCCGCACTGCCCCCCTTCCCCTCCCCCAGCAGCATCTCCTGGCTGCACAAGTGTGGCACTGGCCCCAGTGCTGGCAGCCCAGCTATGCAGCTTCTCCCTGCCCCCTTCCCCTGCTGGAAGGAGCAGGCACCTTCCCACTTCCCCACCTCAGCTTGTGACCCTTTGAAATATTCTGCCACCCACTTTTAGGTTGCAACCCACAGGATGAGAAACACTGCACTGGAATATTTGTCTTTGGTCCTGTATGGGGGCCGCAAGCTCCTAAATCTTTCTATAAAATGCACACTTAGGTATAAGTAGTCCCTCTAAGTAAATTTCAGTCACCTTAAAATTTAAGCGTGCCAGGCTGCTGGTTTGCTTTGTGGGGAAGGCTGGGATGAAAGGAAAGGAGGAAGAAACTCTCTCTCTCTCTGATTTTAGCTCTAGATTAGGCATAGGCACCCTGGCAT